AAATAAAAATCTTATTAATCCAGTATGAAGTAAATTTCAACTTTCTCTGAATATCAAAATACTGTTATCCATACAGAAATAATAGACTAAATAATTATGTTTTACATATAGTTGTTTCTTCCTACTAAAGAATAAAAACTTCTTTTAAAGATTTATTTATTATTTTATGTGTGTGTGCCTGAGTGCATGTATGTGCACATGTGTATGGAGGTGTTGGGGAAGGCCAGAGGAGGCATAATCCCTGGAATTAAAATTACAGGTAGTTGTGAGCCACATACTATGAGTGCCTGGAACTGAACCTGGGTCTTCTGCAAGAGCAGCAAATACTCTTTTGTTTTCATTTTTTTTTTAGTCTTTTTGAGACAGAGTCTCCCTGTAGCTCTCTCTAGCTGGCCTTGAACTCACTTTGTAGATCAGGCTAGTCTTGAACTCACAGATCCACCTGCCTCTGCCTCCTGAGTGCTGGGACTAAAGGCGTGCACCATCATGCCCAGTGAGAGCAACAAGCACTCTTAATTGATGAGCCATCTACCAGACCCAGTATAAACATCTTTGTTTCTTGGAGACAGGGTCTCTCTATATAGACCTGGTTGGCCTGAAACTTGCTATGAAGACAGGCTGGCCTTGATCTCACAGAGATCATATTTTCCAATTCTTTTTTTGTTTGTTTATGAGACAGGACCTCGTTATGTAACCCTGGCTAGTCTGGTACTATGTAGCTTGGGCTGGCCTTGAACTCACAGTAATCCTCCTGCCTTAGCTTTTTTTTCTTTTTGGTCTTTTGGAGACAGGGTCTCCCTGCAGCCCCAGCTGACCTAGAACTCACTATGTAGACCAGGTTGGCCTTGAACTCAGAGATCTGCCTGCCTCTGCCTCCTAAGTGCTGGGACTACAGGAGTGTACCACCATGCCTAGCTTTTTTTTTTTTTTTTCTGCCTTAGCTTCTTAAGTGCAGGGATTATAGGTGTGTGTCACTTCATCTGGCTTCCAATCCTTTCATAGTAATCCTTCTTCCTGTGAAAGCACACGAATAAGCGCTACATAAAACACAGTAGATGAAAACAAGGAGAGGAAGGCTAACTCACGTATATGCAAAACAAGGGCAGTTTAACAGGAAAGACTTCCAAAATAACTTTAGAGCCTCAGAAGCAGTTATCTACCTCCCCCCAACTCCTTTCTTTTCTTTAGAAAGCAAAGTTCCTACATAAGAAATAAACCAATAGGGGCTGGAGAGATGGCTCAGCAGTTAAGAACACTGGCTGTTCTTGCAGAAGACCCAGGTTGAATCCTGGCACCCATATGGCAGCTAACAACTGTCCGTAACTCCAGTTCCAGGGGATCCGACGGCTTCCTCCGTTCTCCACCGGCATTGCATGACACAGGTGCACTTACCTACATGCAGGGAATACATTTATACATATAAAATTAAAATAATAAAATATTTTTTAAAAAATTAAAGAAGTTTTGGTTAAATAAATTCATCAATAAATTTGAGGGAGAATTGACACCTAACAAAATTTTCATTTTCATAAGCATGGTATACAAAAATTTATAGGCCTTATTTACTGTCTTTCAGTAATTTTTTTCAGAGCAGACTTATGTATCTTTCATTAGATTAGTTTCTGTGTTGTTGGCCAGGCAGCCAAAGGGATTCCCAGATAGTAACCCAGCATAGAACTGGGAAATTGATCAGCAGACCCCAATCTTATCCAAAGGAATATTGACAACTGATTACCGCTAGATGAGGAACAGCTGACCCTCCTAAAACAAAGACCTCTAGATAGGCTGACTAGATTCACCAGAAGGGCAAGTAATGGGGAATGGCTGGGGGTGCCGATAACACAACAGACAGTAGTAGGGATATCAGAGTATAAGGGCTCTAGTTGGGGAAGGGAGGCTATGGGAGGGTGCTACCTGGGAAGTGGGTGTATAAAAAAATAAAAAAAAAAAAGAAAAATTTGCTCCTTAATAATTAGTAGATGTGAAAAACATTACCATTGAAATCTACCTGATGACTTTATCCATGCTCAGATGCCAAGGAGCTCAGAAAGTAACCGACTGTGACTAGTAATAATCAGATATATATAGATTAGAAACATGAGTGCAAGCAGCTTATTGTCAATTGAATTAAAAATGAATTTTTCTGTATGAAAATGTGTATTTTAATAATGAAATGGAGATCTATTTTAAAGGTTAAAACCTCATTTAATTTTGTGTCTTATAGGGTTTATACTGAGTACAACATTGTATAACTGTAATAATTCAACTGTAAGCCTAAAAATTTACAGCCAAAGCACTGGTTGCTCTTGTAGAGGACCCAGGTTTGAGTCCCAGCACCCACAGAGCAGCTAACAACTGTCCTAACTCCAGTTCCAAGTGATTCGATGCCCTCTTCGGCCCTCCACAGGCACTGCACGACACGGGTGCACTTACATATATGCAAGCAATACACTAATAAATAAATAATTAAAAAAAAATTTTTTTAAAAAGAATAAAAAATAAAGTCTGGGGCTGGAGAGATGGCTCAGCAGATAAGAGCACTGGCTGCTCTTGCAGAGGACCCAGGTTCAATTCCCAGCACCCACAGAGGCTAACAACCATTTATAACTCCAGCTCTAGGAAATCTGAGACCATCTTCTGACCTTGGTGAGCACTGCACAACAAGAGTGCACTTACATACATGCAGGCAACACTCATATACATAAAATTAAAAAAAAACAAAACAAACAAAAAAACCAAACCTGCAGCTGGAGAGATGGCTCAGTAGTTAAAAGAGTACTGGTTCCTCTTATAGAGAACCTGGGTTTGGTGCCCAGCACCCACATTGTGGCTAACAACTATCCATACCTCCAGTCCAGCGGATCTGACACTCTCTTCTGGGCTCTGCAGGCATTGCACATAGGGGTGTACTTACATACATGCAGGCAAAATACTCATACATATAAAACAGAAATAAAGTTAAAAAATAAAATAAGCAGCCCAAGATCACATAAGACAGTAACAGGACTCAACCCAGACAGTTTAGCTAAAATTCTGTGCTCTAAACCACTAGCTCTGGTGTAATTAATTCTTTTAAAATTTATTTGCTTATTTTTTTGTTGTTTGTTTTGAGACAGGATTTCACTCTTAAGCCTTTGCTAGCTTGGAATTCCATATGCAGACCAGGCTTACCTCTGCCTCCCCAGCTGGGCTGAGGCCAACATCATCAACTTTGCAGTAAATTTTAAAAAGTCAATAGTGGTGGGACATGCCTCTAATCCCAGCACTCTTTGGGAAGGCAGAGCCAGGCAGATCTCTGTGAGTTAAGAGGTCAGTCTGGTCTACATAGTAAGTTCCAGGCCAGCTGGGGCTACAGGTAGACCTTGTCTCAAAAATACCAAAAAAAGAAAAAAAAATTAAAAAAAAAAAAAATCACAAAGCAAAATACTGTTTGGATTGTTTTGAGGGACAACAGTCAATATAATCTAACATTTTATGAAAGACATATTCTGTGAAGGACTAATTATTGTGTTTGATTCTTATCCCTATGTAAATAGGACAAGCCCCTAGACTTAATTTTTGTTTTGTTTTGAAGTTCTCCTTGTGGCCTAGAACACTCTATGTAGACCAGGTTGGCCTCAAGGTCACAGAATCCAACAGCCTCTGCCTCCTGAGTGGTAGGATTAAAGACATGTGCCACCACACCTGGTGTAGATTTAAAAAAAAACAAACAAAAGGGAGGGGGTGTCTCATTTAAGTCAGTCAATCTGGCCTTGAACTCACTGTGTAGTTGAGGATGATCGAACTTAAAGATTCTCCTACTGCCTCTGGAGTGTTGGAGTTATGTATTGCTATGGATCAAACCCCAGGGCAAGCAGTCTTATCAACTGCTACGTCCTCATTCCAAATGGTTTTTGTTTTTTTTTAAGTATTTATTTCATGTGTATGAGTGTATTACCTGCATGTACGTAATTGGACCCATGTTGTGCAATGCCTGTGGAGGACAGAAGACGGTATCAGGATCCCCTGGAACTGGAGTTACGGACCGTTGTTAGCCACTGTGCCGGTGTTGGGACTCGAACCCGGGTCCTCTACAAGAGTAGCCAGTGCTCTTAAGTCATCTCTCCAACCCTACTTTGTTAATTCTTATAAGGCATTTTTTATTGCTTGTTTTTTTTTTAAAAAAAAGTACCACAGTTTTGCGTCTTCGTAAGTTAACTGTATCAACCTGAACTCACTTCGTAGCCAAGGATGACCTACAGAGCTTAGACATTTAATGTTTAAGAAGTGTTTCTTCTAGTAATGACGAGAACGCTTACAACACCTACCTCCTTTGGTGTGTTTCTGCTATTTGTTTGGATTTAACTTTTTTGAGACAAATTCTAAGTAGCCCTGACTGGTCTGGAATTGGAGCGACCCATCTGCCTCTGCCTCCCAACTCCTGGGATTCCAGGTGTGCGTCACCACATCTGGCCAGCCCCTAGCACTTTGGATATCCGTGCGGGTTGGAGCACTGAGCGCAGAACGTGAGAGCATCACACCATCCAGTATAGCGCATGGCTTCTTTTCCCACGTGAAAACCTGCTTCCGTACACAAAAGGGTCAAAGCCAGGAGGTGGATGGGGAATGTGAGGAAGGGCAGGAGAAGCGAGCAGGATCTACCCAGCCTTCCTGGAAAACTGCCGAAGGGCACAGCTCTTCGCGAAACTGACCCGAGAAGCGCTCCGGGCGGCGCGGACCACGCGGGCCTGACCCGCTGCCAGGAGCTCTCAGCAGAGCCAGCGCAGGTTCCACCCGGTTAGCACGTGCTCCGTCCTCCAGGCACCATCCCTTCCCTCCCCTCGGCGCGGCCCGCCCAGAGACTCGGCTTTCCACCCTGGGATAACCGTCCCAGTAATGTCGCCCAGCCCGGCCCAGTAGACAGTACCTCAGCAGCAAGCTCCACAGAGGAGCTGGAGAGAACAAGTTCCGCATTCACGGCAAGAGGACGCCAGGAGCCCCGCCCCTCACCTCTGACTGGCTAAATGAACGACGGAAGCTGGAGACGATTGGTCGGCCGCAAAAGAGGCGGGCCAACGCGGCACCGAGGAAGCGGGCTCGTGATTGGGCGAGACCAGACGGCTGCTCATGCGCAGACTCAGTTTCGCGGGGTAGCGCCACACCACACCGCCTCTTCTTTCCTTTCTGGAAGTTTCAGCCATTCCATTGGCTGGGAGGGACGCTTCGGCTTCCTGGCCGTGTGGCCAATGAAGGGCAAGAACAGAGCGGGTTCCGCCTCTTCCTCTGCGAGTGTGCGGTTCTTGTTGACTCGGACTCCGCGCGATCCGCTCAGCGTTCAGCCAGAACTTCCAGTGGTTCCTCCGACGCGGGTAGGACGTTCCTGCGGAACCTGGGGACCTCTCTCGAGGGTGAGAGGCGGTGCTGGAGGCGAGCCCTGAAGAAACCACGTGTGCATGCAGCGAGTGACACTCAAACCCGACCTTTGCGCGCCCCTGACCGTGTCGCCCTGGCTGTGACGTGGTGACAGTTCTCACGCTGTCATTGGATAAAACTAGTTACCCAAAATTTGGAGGTAGTGGTGCTGGAGAGATGGCTCAGCTGAGGGAGGACAGGGGTTCGATTCCCAGCACCTACATGGCAGTTGTAACTCCAGTAACTCCAGTTCCAGGGGATCCGACGCCCTCTTCTGACCCCTGTGGGCATTGCACGACACGGGTGCACTTAACACACATGCAGGCAGTACATTCATACACGCAATAAATATTTAAAAATCCGAGTTTTTCTTTCTCAGCCCCAGGGGATTCTTGGTTTTGTAGTCCAAGAACTTCAGTTCCTGTTTCTCTTTTTGTTTTGTTCTGTGTTTTATTTTTGTTGGTTTTGAGACAGGGCCTCCCTGTAGCCCCTGCTAGCCTAGAACTTGCATTGATCCTCCTGCCTTTGTCTTTTCCTCTTGAAGTATATGCCACCACATACCTCTTTAGATATGACTGTTGCTGTTAAGTTCTTCCCCATTGGTTTGTTGTTGAGATAGTGTCTCCTTGTAGTCCCAGCTGGCCTGGAACTCGCTATGTAGACCAGGCTGGCCTCGCTCTCACAGAGTGCCACCTGTCTCTGCCTCCTGATTTCTAAGATTAAAGGCATGCACCACCACACCCAGCCATTGGTGTTTTTTTTTTTTTTAAACACCACTTTTTTGTGTATATGAATGTATTGCCTGCATGTATGTAAGTGCACCCGTGTCGTGCAATGCCCGAGGAGGTCAGAAGAGGGGAGGTTGGATTCCCTGGAACTGGAGTTGAGGGGGGCGGGTAGCCGTCATGTGGGTGCTGGTAATTGAACCTGGGTCCTCTGCAAGATTTTTTTCAATGTGTGTGAATGCTATGCCAGTAAGTGTGCCACATGCATACAGTGCCAGTGGAGGCCAGAAGGGGGCATCTGATCCCTTGGAACTGGAGTAGTTGTTAGACACCATGTGGGTGCTGGGATCCAAGCTGGGGTCTTCTGCTACAGCAGCTGCAGCTCTTATCTGCTGAGTCATCTTTCCAGATGCTTCCCAAACGTTGTTAACACCCTTGGGGGTTTATTGAGGGTATTTTTTTTTTTTTTTTGGTCTTTTTAAGATAGGGTCTCCCTGTAGCCCCAGCTGGCCTGGAACTCACTATGTAGGCCAAGCTGGCCTTGAACTCACAGAAATCTGCTTTCCAGGTGCTGGGATTAAAGGCTATGCGCCACCATACCTGGCATTATTTATTTCTGAGGCAGGGTCTCAATGTGTAGATTAAGCTGGTCTTGAACATAAAGAGATCTTCTACCTGTCTCTGCCTCCTAGGTGCTGGTAATCAGGCATGGTAAGTTTTGCTTTGTGTCTTTTTGAGACAGGGTCTCCCTGTAGCCCCAGCTGGCCTGGAACTCATTATGTAGACCAGGCTGGCCTCAAAATCACAGAGATCTGCCTGCCTCTGCCTCCTGAGTGCTGGGACTAAAGATGTGCTCCACTATGCCCGGCATTACAAATGTTTTAAAAGGACAAAGGATAGTGCTGTTCTGCCTCCTGCGGTGTTAAGGTGGACTTTCAGTTTATACAGATGGGAAAGGAATGAGGTTAATATTGTAACTGACAATTATGCTAATCAAAGCCAGGACCTACCTCGTCACAAAAATCTTTTTCATATAACTGTTCAAAAGTACCATGCACCGGGTGTGGTGGTGGTGCATGCCTTTAGTCTCAGCACTGGGGAGGCAAAGGCAGGCAGATCTCTGTGAATTTAAGGCCAGTTGGTCTACATAGCCAGTTCCAGGCCTGCTGGGGCTACAGGGAGACCTTGTCTCAAAAATACCAAATAAAAATAAATTTGAATATCTTGTATTTATTTTTTTTGACAATTTCATACATGTGAACAATTCATCATATGTACCCCCAACTCCTCTCTCGAAGTCTCCCCCCATGAAGCCCATGTCCTCCCTCTCAGCCCCCCAAGTCCCTCCCACCAACACATCCTCTTCCCATCTGTTATCTTTAAGAGAGAGCCTTGTTACAGTGACTGGTTCAAAGCTAGCCAATGCCTGTTCAGATTCCTGTTTCACTACCATATCTCCAGTTTCAAGGGCAGTCCTGTTGATAGTTCTATTTGTTTACTCCCACAAATACAAAACAAAATATCCAACATGGTTCGCCAGAGTTCTAAGACTAGTTCTTTTGTATGATAACCAGTATCAACATGCCTACAGTCCTCAGTTAATAAACAACATGAATTCATGTTGTACTGGGAAGATGGTTGGAGATGTGATTAACTCCTCCTCCCCTCTCCTTCTGCCTCTCTCTCTCTCTCTCTCTCTCTCTCTCTCTCTCTCTCTCTCTCTCTTTCTTTCTCTGAAGCAGGGTCTCCTCGTAGTCCCAGCTGAGCTGGAACTCACTGTATAGACCAGGCTGGCCTCCAACTCACCTCCCCCCCGCCCAGTGTCTCACTATGTAACTTTGGCCTGGAACTTGCTATGTAGACTAGGTTGGCCCTGAATTCACAAAGATCTACAGCCTCTACTTCCAGAGGGTTAGGAGGTTAGGATTACAGGTGTGTACTACCGGGCCTAGTTTATATGGGGCTGGGATTAAGCCCCAGAGCCTTTGTACATGCTAGGCAAGCACTTTATCTGAGCTACATGGGTCTACGAGCCTTTTTAAAAAAATTTTATTTTATGTGTATGTGTGTATTGCCTGCTTGTAGATAAGTGCACCCATGTAGTGCAGTGCCTGAGGAGGTCAGAAGAGGCTGTTGATCCCCTGGGACTGGAGTTATGGACAGTTGTTAGTTGCCATGTGGGTGCTGGGATTCAAACCCTAGTCTTCTGCAAGAACAACCATTGTTCTTAACCACTGAGCAATCTCTCCAGACCCACTTTTTTTTTTTTTTTAAAGGCAAGGTCTTACTATATATCCCCAGGCTGGCCTGCAACTTGTGATCCTCCTGCCTTAGCCTCCTGAGTGCTGGAATTATAGGCATGGGCCACCATGCATGGTTTCTTGAGGTCACTCCTTAAACAGATAAGCATGTTGCCCAATAAGTGGCCTACAATGATGATTCAGAGGTTCACTCTGTTAAAAGCAGTAATGATACCTGTTTCAATTCCAGTTTTTAAATTCTCAACAAAATTTTTTTCTTTAAGATGGAATGCTTCAAGACTGTGAAGCTCAGTATTTAGCACAACTCTGTTGAATTCTCTCCTCCCCTCAAAAGAAGCAGCTTTAATTTTATAAAGTATAATGACTTTTAAGTCTAGAAACATATGAAACTTACATATCCCAAATCATGTTTTTTTTTTTACACAAATGAAATATTTTGTTTTACATGTTAAAAAATTAAAGGGGTTGGAGAGATGACTCTGGTTAAGAGCAAGGGCTGCTCTTTCAGAGGACTCAGGTTTTATTCCCAGCACCCATGTGGTCATGGCGGCTGACAACCATTCGTAACTCTAGTTCCAGGGGATCTGATGCCCTTTTCGAACCCCAGTCCTCTATAAGAACTATCAGTGCGCTTAACTGCTGAGCCATCTCTCTATCCCCTTCTTTTGTTGTTTGAGACAGGGTACCGCTATGTAGCCCTACCTGGCCTGGAATTCCCTATGTAGACCAGGCTGGTCTTAAACTCACTGTGATCTTCTTGCCTCTGCCCCAAGTGCTGGGATGAAAGTGTGCACCACCACGCCAGGCTCATGCCATCATGCCGACACACCCAGCTTGTGCTGGACATTTTAAGCTTCATCACTGTTTCCTGTCATCACGGCTAATTCTGCTTCATGTCCTCTTCACATCTACCTTGCACAAGCAGCACCTGCCCATCCCATCATACTATATGTAACTGCCAACTTTATTGTTCAAACATTCTCAAATGGACATCAAAGTGAAAACTGAAGACCATTTTGTTTAATGGAAGTTCTCACAGATTTTCCCTTTCTTTTTCAGACAGGGTCTCCATATGTAGTCTTAGTTGGACTGGCACTCACTACATATACTAGACTGACTTTATACTCGTAGAGATCCACCTGCCTCTCCCTCTGAAGTGCTGGGAGTGAAGGTGTGACCAGCCCAAATATTCACATTTAATCTCAGGGTTTGTGTAGCCCTAACTTGCCTGGGACTCACTCTGTAGACCAGGGTAGCCTCAACTGCACAGAGATTCACCTGCCTCTGTGACATACAATTTTCCCCCTGGTAATTATGAGTTATTATGAGTTACCTAGCAGAGCCCTGAGCATGACAATCACTTGTGTGTTGGGAACACTGATAAGGCCCCTCCCATGCTTAG